CGAAGATGGAAATGAAGAGTTTGAAGAAAAATGGTTTTTTTAATAAGAGGAGGAAAAATGATATTTCTAAATTAGTGTATATGATTTTAAATAGGAATATGTACCTAAATTTAAAATGTAAAATTGTTTACCTACATAGCTAAAAGTACATGTGTTTTCAAGTTGACCAAAAAACATTTTGGGGGACTTTTTAATAGAGAAATAGGGGGAAAAAATGATATTTGAAATTGCCTTATAGTTGGGCAATATGGTATATGCTGAATTTCAATAAAATAAAATTGATTCACATAGCTAGCCTACTGGCTACTTAACCAAGCAGAGCTCTCTTCCCTCCTATTAGATGTGTATAAAACTGGCAAGTTTGATCATATTTAGTGGCTTGTTCTACCTCCATTTAGTAATATTTTGTTGACCATAATTTGAAACAAGTCAACAGCAGTAGATCAGGATTCATTCTTGGATCCCTGTGTCCCCTCCTTCAGGAACGGCCGTGGTGCAATGCCCATCCCCTGAAGCCAGCTTTCTTCAGCCTGGCTCTCCATCCTGCCCCACCCACGCACCCTCATCAGTCCCACTCATCCAGCTGACCTAATTTCCTACCAGAGCCAATCTATGCCCTCCATTTCTGGTTAAGACTTCTCTCATAAGGGCTTCTTCCACTAGAATGGCTACCCCCCAACTCCATTTACTACAGTCGAACCCCAGGCCCTCAAAGTGAAGTTGTCCTGACTGCCTTGGCCTGCAACATTCCCTGAAATTCTTGTGCAACGCAGTCATAATTAAGCACTGAATTACATGCTCTTTTAAGTTATTCTGTGATTGCTTCAGGGATATCCTTTCTCTCTCTCTCTCTCTTTCTATCTGAGAAAAGAATTTTGAGGGCAGAGGCTGAAACTAATAATTCTTCTAGATTCCCCTTGGAATTGATTGTCACTTGACTGAATGTTGTCTAATGACATGATGCCATTTCAAGTGGAGGATGCTTTTGTCCCTGTTCAAGGACAAACTACAAGAAAAACAGAAGTAGTACCTTCAATAAACAACTGTTTTTGGCAAGCCTGCTACTTCTGAGACTGTACCAGTATTAACCTACTGGCCTGAATCACAGAGCATCTGCAATGGAGTAAATGCAGATGGCACACACACACACACACACACACACAAAAAACCACTAACCACATCTTGCTTTCTGGAGTCATAAAGGTTCTTCAAGCATCAACTCCATCAGCAAAACAACTTAAGGTAGATATCTTCAAAAAATACCCAGAACCTGACCTAAGACACCCCTAATGATACAATGTTCCACTACCATAACCCTGAGCTAGGATGCCATTATCTGTCACATGCAGTATTGCAATAGCCTCTTCACTGGTTTCCCTGCACACTCACTTCCTCACAATCTATTCTCAACTGCGACCTAAATGAGCCTGATGAAACGCTAGTCAGATTGTGCCCAAACCCTCCAATCATAGATCAGCCTGACTACTGGTAGAAAACAGATGGCACATTCAAAGTGGGTGCTTTGAGGAGTACAAAGAACAAGTTACAAAGGCAGAGCAGGTGCAGGGAAACCACAAAGAAGAGTGTAGTACTCTAGGGCTGGCAACACAGGGGGCTTGATCCCCTCCTAAGCCGGAAGATATAAAGAGGAGTAGAGAAGGACACAGAGAGCTCCACAGAGAAGGCACCTAATAGGAGATGTGACCTTAAGTCTAGAGACACTCCAGCCCATGCAATCCTGCAGGAGGGGAATAAATACACTGATCTCATTCTTCTTCCTCTCTTTACTCCCTATCCATACTCCCCATGGCCAAATACAACCAGAAGCCATAAGGCAAGGGAGCCTATCATGCAAGTCTACCTCCTGCGGCACAGCTACAGAGCAGGGTGGAAAAGAGTAGAGTGAATCTGGAGAGGTAAACAGAAGCTATTTAACCAAATGGCTTTCCATCTCAATCAGGGTATTTGAAAGTACTAACCATGGCTTATAAGAACCTACATGATCCAACCCATCTCCTATTCTCCTGTTTGTTAACCTCTCTATTTACAGTGCCTCTCCACTCATCAGGCACTCATGCTTCAGGCCCTTTGTACTTGCCGCTTTCTCTGCCCAGAATACTTTTCCCCCAGATACACACACATGGCTTGTTCCTCACTTACTTTAGGTCTCAGTTAAAACGTCACGTCATCATAGGTTTTCTCTCTTTCCATGTTACATAAAAACCCCCCTGCCCCTACCCATCCATTCCTCACACACTCTATCTCCCTTATCCTGCTTTATTTTTCTCCACAGCATTTCTAATTAACATATCTGATAGATGATAGAGATAGATATAGATAGATAGATAGATAGATAGATAGATAGATAGATAGATAGATATAGATGATAGACAGATAAAAGATAGATAGATAGATTGATTGATTGACTAATTTTCCTTTTTTCGTTGACTGCCTCCCTGGCCTAGAACAAATTTCATAATACCATCAACATGGCCTCTTTTGTTCACTGTTTTATGTCCAGTGCCTAGAACAATGCCCTAAACAGAAGGCACTCGATATTTGTTGACCAGATGAAAATGAATGAATAAAACAGAAGGAACCATAACTAAGGGTCTTCCCACTATGTATAGGTTTAACTCCTATTATCAAATTGTTGTTTAACAAAATAAAGACTCCTCATGGAGATGCGAAGTACAGCATAGGGAATACAATCAATAATATTGTAATAACTATGTATGGCACCGGGTGGGTACTAGACTTATCGGGGGGTCACTTCATAAATTATATAAATGTCTAACCACTATGCTGTACATATGAAACTAATAAAAATATTGAATGTCAACTGTAATTGAAAAAACAACAAAAAAAAGTCTCCTGATCATCAAATAGGAAGCATGTGACAAGCATTTGTTTTTATTGGCAATGGCATAAAATTTAGCCTTGTTAGTAAATCCCTATGAATAAACAGTTCAGCCAGAACAAAAAAAATAATAATGGTGTCTTCTGTAAACAACTCCTCCTAACAAGGTTGATATTTCTTATGAATATATCATTATTAACCTGCCTCTATCTTATCTGCAAAATTTGTAAGGATTGAATGATGTATAGAGAGCCTTTAGCACCATGCTGGGACCCAATAAATGGACAGTATGATTATTAAAACACTGAGGCAGCCGTGAAAATGAGATACATTATTTTCCCACTATCTGGAACTGTTCATTTTAGACTTTTAAAATGTAAGCTGACATAAAGATATGCAAAAGAAATATAAGATGCTCTACTACCTACTCCACAGTTGGGCCTACATTTGAAAGACACCTGTAATACCAGTGTTCCATATCAGAACCTAGCTTCCACTCCTGGTCCAGGCCTCCGCCTACTCTTTTGCAGACCAGAACCTTGTTGTATCCATTTCTGCAACACTCATTCATGCCTAGGTACTTAGAATATAAGTGCTCGTGTTTTCCTGGTAGGAACTGAGCAATGACACTCTACTGGGGGAAAAAAAGTAGTATAGGAAAAAGAAAAAGCACAGATTAGTAAGGCTCCTGATAATGTTCTTTTTTTTGACTTGCTCTTCTAACCATGGAAGTCTCTGTTCTGGTCTCTAAATATAAAGACCAGCTTCTGATTCCCTTTTCAACTACTAGTCTATCTATAACCTGATCAGCTGGGTCAGTTCAGTTAACTACATAAAAGGTGACCCGATAGTCTTAGGTCAGACACAAAGAAAAAGGCTTGATCTGAATCAACACAGCAATCCATCACTTAAGAATACTGCAAAGATCCTGTAGCTTTTTCACGGATGGGAGGTTTCTTTGCCATCTTTTGCAAAAGGACATACTGGTGGGCTAATTAACCTGGGGAGCTAGATTCAGAAAATAAGGATTTCCTTTTCTACCCTAAAATCCACAAAGTGTAAATCTCCAGTTATAATGTTCTCTCTGCTACTGTGTGTATAACTATGTTTTTGTTATAATTATCTGGATAGCCATAAATATACAATATGATAACTATCACTACTACTAAATTTGCCTCAATGGAGGCTTCCAACTTTAGATATGAAAATCAAAGCAGGTCGCACCAAGGTTAAGCCTGGAGACTGATCTTACTAAGAGATTTTATTTTAGTAAGCAGCCTGATGCTTATTTATAAGCGCTAAAAAGAATCATCCTGACCACTTCTCCTACTAACAGATAGTTAAACATTTCCATTATAATTTGGGAGCAATTGGGAATGAGAAGAAAAACAAAACTATAGTTTACTACTCATTCCTCGAACACTTTTCAAAGTGAGGTTCCATCCTACTTCGAGGTCTCAGTGAATGAATGACAAGTAATCCAAAATTTATACTTATAACACTTTCCAAACTATATGGTCTTCCTGTCTGTCATCCCCAACTAGGCTATGCCATGCTCATAGTCAGGCGCTGTTTTATTTCTTTGTATTTCCAACGTTTAATATAGTGACCAGCACATCTGCTGGTGCTCAAATGACTGAATGACTACTAAAATGCCCACCCACGAAGCAGGCCCCAAACCTGGCACTGTGGGTCAGAAATTAAACAAATCATGGAATGGCATGACCTCAGTCTGGCGGCATCTCATCCCCTTTCTGTCCCAAAACTCCAAGTGGGGGGAAAAGCACACTATCTATCCGAAAACCTCCCGAAGTCCCAGCAGAATGGAGTGGGCTGTCTAACTTGCCCTGGCTGCTTCTGATCTCCAAGCACAGAACACGATTCTCTCAGCTCTCTCAGGCAGAGGGAACCCAGGTTCAGTCCTCTCCTCCAAGCCCAACCCTGGCAACCACCCCTCCCCACAAACGCTCCACTTCCCAGCCGAAGCCTGGGCGCCCAGAGCTTCCCAGAGGGGGGTCGCCGCGGTGCACTGTAGGAGTGGTAGTTCTCCGGTAAGTTCCAAACGCCGGCTGCCCTGCGAATGGGACTCCTACTCCCAGAAGCCCCCGCGCAGGCGCCTCGCCTAGTCCTGTCACCTCACCTGTTCTATGGACGTGACTGTTTCCACCGAGTCGTCCTGCAACCGCTCCCGCGCGTGCTCGGGCCTCAGACTGTACAGAGGCTCTGACCAGACAGGGGAGGAAGATGGAGGACAACAGTAAGTGAAGGAACTCGGAGAAGCCATGACCAGGAGAGCAGCGGTCGGTGTATAGGACTCAGCTTCGTCCAACAACAACGCGCATTGAAACTCGAGCGGGCTAAAGCGCTACGGAGAGCTATTAGAGTCAAAAAGATTTTAAACGCGAATCTCTCTCCTACCTACACATATATTCAGGGAGTGAGTTACTGGTATACTGCCGCCCCCCACCGGTCAGAGGAGCTGCTGCAAGAGGCTCAGTTTCCTGGAGTGCAAGGAAGGATGTGTCTATCTTAATATTTCAGAGATGGTGTAGGATGCCTCTATTCGTTATGCAAATTAAAACACGCACTTCTTTTCAACATTCTGTTAATTCTCTCTTAATTATAATGGCAGTAGTTCGCAGTCTTGGGTGCCCAATGATTGTAATTTTAAAAGTATTTCTGACAGCTCTCTTGATTGCCTCAGTCACGCTATTACTAATAGAATTATTGTGCACCTTTGGGTACATGACAGCCACCCAGGGGAAACCAGCATCGTCTCAACCAAAGAACTGGCATCTCAGTACTCAGTAGAAGTAAAGAGCATTGTCATTTTCTCCTATCCCCTTGGGGGTTGCAGTGCAGTAGCAGGAACTAAAATGCAGAAGGAACAAGTATAAATGAAACAACCAAGGCAATATTCATTCATTCATCGATTGTTTTATAGAGCTCCTACTACATGTCAGGCACTGTGCTAGGCCCTAGGAATACAAAAGTGAACAAAACAAACAAGATCTCTCCCCTTGGAACCCTTGCAGTCTAGTGGAATAGACAGAATTAAGTGAATGAACACAATAAATATATGAAGACTTGTGATAAATGGTATGAAGGAAAATCAGGTCTATAAGAGAAATTAAAGGAGGAGGGAACTAATTAGACTGAGTAGTCAGGCCAACCCTCTCCAAGTAAATGACATGTAAGCTGAAATCTGAAGAATAGCAAGGAGCCATCCGTGTGAACAATATGGGGAAGAGCTCAAGAGGAACAGCAAGGATGAGTGAACATGCCACAAATATATATGTTTGTATTAATTCTGATATTTAATCTATAGGTATTCAGAATAAAAGAAAACCTATTGAATGGGGTCCATTATTATATAAATATAATTTACAATTATATTTAAAAATAAAATTGTGATTTTTAGAAAAACCCTGCTACCTTTGGACAAGCAATAGAGGAGAATCTTTCAGAGCTCACACCAAAATTATAATAGCAAGAGGTTAAACTAGAGCAGAGAGAGTTTGGGGGGGGAGGGGAAGATAAGATGAAAACAGACTTTCTAATAAACTTGGACATAAGCTCAACTTCCTGCTCAGACTATTTTATTATATTCCCACTCATTTCCAAGTCACAGTCTAGGACCCAGAAACTGTGTGTGGTATTTTACAACCAGACATTCCCTTTTTTCGGCCTCTGGTGTCAAATAGAAGCACTGAGAAAGAGTCTAAGGATGAAGCCAGGATGGTGAACACTATCACCATGCCCATCGTAGGGGAGGAAGAAACTTTCATCTATCCTCATGGTTCCTTTGGCTGGTCTAATAACTAAATTTACACGAGACGGATTAACAAGAGAAAATGACCAAATTAAAGTATATACATATCCATGGGAACCCCACATACATGAGAGATTCAGAGACAGAAAGTTAAAATGAGGTATATACAGCATTCTGAGCTAAGAATGTGGTAAGGCACCTTTGGGCTTCAAGGGTCATTGCAGGACCATAAGAAGAGCAGATGTTGAGTAACTAGTAGTTTCCCCCCGCAGTATAGATAGGTTAAACAAAAAGAAAGGTTATATCTGATAACCTCAAACTGTGGGCAAGTCCCCTAATTCAAATTCTTCTAGGTAATTAGGGTTGGAGGGTGGGGCAGGACAGTTTTTTTCTTGAGCCCACAGGGTCTCAGTTACCTGTAGCTCAAAATAACCTGCATACCACAGAGGCACATCTTGGGATGACTTGTTCTGGACCCCAACACCATTTCAGTGGTACTGTTGCCAAGTCCTGGAGGTGGCAGCATGTTATTAAATCTGAAAATAAGTGACATTGTGTGAGTTAGGATCACCGATATGGCTGCACTATACTTCCCTCTATATTTGGCATCTTATTGTCTTTCCCTTAATTCTGTTTTAGAAATAATTGTCTGATAAAGGTCTGGGTCATATCTAAAAATTTAGCCTTCTTTGTAAAGAGTTGCTTTGCTAATTAGAAATTTAAATTCAACTACAGAAAGAATAGCTGGAAGAGTTTTGTAACAAATCATTATCCATTAAGGTGTACCTAAAGCAATCACAAATTGTATTAAAAAAAAAGAGATCCATTTCTGAAATGCAATCTCCTCTGAAGTTTTGTCTGAAAGACATTAACAGGGGAAAGACTCCTGCAGGATAGTGTCTGTTCATTTCGTAAATATTTATCGAGTACCCATTAAGTGCTGAGCACTGAGCTAAGTGCTAAGGAGACGGTGGTAAACAAGCCAGATACAGTCTCAGCGCTTACGTGTCTCATGATTTACCAGAAAAAAAAACAGACAATCATTACAGCCTATTTCACTGGGTGAAACAGCATGAGGAAGAAAGAAGCACAGGGCATTATGAGATTGTATAACACAGGAGATTTAAGGTAATCTGAAAAATCAGGAACGACTCGCATGAGGAAACAAGTTAACTGACCCAGAGTGAGGGGACATCTCAGGCTGAAACAAACCAGTGACGATCAAAAATCAAGTGAAACAATGAATAAAAAATATGAGGAGTTTGTACTCTATGTAGCATTGAGAAGATTGTTCAGCCCTGGAGCAACAGTGGCCCACCAGTTATCTTTCCTCTGGGTTTAATAAAACCATTCATTCAAGAAGCAGAATGAATGTAAGTATTGGCTGTTTGGCAGAGAATGATGTACTTACAGGAGAAAGTCTCAGTAATGATAATAAATAGCAACTCCAGCTTGGACTGTAGGTAGTTTGGCTTTATTTTACTCAAATACCTTCTATTTTTCTAAATTAAACTGTGAATTATAATTGTTTCTTTAAAAATAATATAAAATTGTGTGGATAGTGTTAGTTTGTACTTCCATCAAGAGCAAGAAAAAAAAATTAATGGCCTAAGTGAACCACTAGAGGTCGCTTCTGACTCTCTAGAGTAGGCTTACAAGGTAGGCTTTAAACTGCTCTCACTGCCTTTACACACACAAGCCCGTATGTCAGCATGAATTGTTTCTTTTAATATCTTATGAAACTATGTAATAATACATATCTTGGAAAGTTTGGAAAATGGAAAGAGCTCATCTATTATCCCATTAGATAATTAATTTTTCCCCCAATTTACTCCTCTACCAGCATCTGTAGCCTCCCACTTTGCTGTCCATGTCCCTCCTGTCCCCCTGGCTGGAATGACTTCCAGCTCTTACCTAGAGCCAGCCCCTCCCTCTCCCCTCATGCCCCTGCTTTTCCTAAAACATCAAATTGTCTTTGCACTTGGTCATTCCCATTGTCCTCAAACAGACTACTACTCCATTTTCGAAGGAAAAAAAAAAGACATTTTTAACCCTCTTGATTACACTTCTCCTTCAGCTATCTCCCCAGTACTCATATTTCTTCCCTACCAGGGCTTCCAATTCTTCTCCTCCAACTGTACAAAAGTATCGACTCTTGGTCCTGTTTGAGGTTTGTCATGGTGAAAAACTATCTTACCAGCAAATAGAAAACTGAAGCCAATTAAAGAGCATTGTTCATGTTGAGAAATCAGAGAAATGATTTTAAAAACTGTTGAGAGGCAATGCCAGAAGTATACACTTCAGAGCATACTGGTGACTCTCAACCCAGGCTATGCCTTTAAAAATATAGATTTTCCCAGGCATTAGCCCACACCTACTGAGTCAGAATCTCTGGGGCTGAGGCCTAGGCACATGAATTTTTTAAAGCTCCACCAGTGATGCCGATGCATAAGTAGGGTTGGGAGCCGCCACGAATCTTTTTATGTGGCAGAAATGCTGGCCGTCCACTAGAGTTCTGCTTCCCTTCCATACCGGGGAGCTGCAGCTAAGCAGTGACTGCCCACCAGTCCCCCTTGCATTTAGGCAGGGCCTTGTGACTGAGTTCTGGTCAAGGGAACATGGGCAGAAGTGATGTCCAGCACATCTAGGCCTGGCCCTTTAAAACCTTCTATTCCACCCTCTATCTCCACTCTTCCCCTCTCTGCCAGCAAGAGGTCCATGCCTAGGGCAACCCTTCAAATTCAAAAGAACTTCATGCCCTGTGTTCTGAAAGTTAAAATCCTCAGTTAACAAAGAGATCTTCAGGATTTTATTCCATTGGACAAAGGGCTTAATCCCTTTATAGATTCAAATTATTTTCTGGACAAATATTGTGACCTCTTTCAAATGTGTGTTAATACGACTCCTTTCAAACAGCCTTTTTGAAGTTTGCTAACTTGTGACTAGAGGGTCAACTGTCCCCTCCCCTGATGGGTGTCCTAAAGTTTCACCTTCCCTACAGAGCACCCCCTCCCTTCTATTTATAAGCTAATCTTAGAGAGGGTCTTAGGTGTACACTTAAGCAAACGAGAAAGCCTGCAATCTTGGTGTGTGAGGGACCTGGGGTCCTGCAATCTTGGTGTGTGCGGGACCTGGGGTGTGGTGTTTTCCCATCATTGGTTGGTGGGCACTCTCTTTGATCCTTCCTGCAAGGCAGATCTTATAAAGAGCAACTTTGTGCTATTAAACTGAGTCCAATGGTGGGAATCCTTGTTGAAGAGCCTCTGCCACCCTGGGTGTCTAAATAAGTGACTGTGGAACAAAGTCACTCCCACTCCCACCTCCTTGTTGCCCATTAGACTTTACACGAGGGAGAAATAAATCTTTCTGGCATGAACCCCAGAGATTAAGGGGTTTATCCGTTACAGTAACTAGCATTACCTTAACTAATACATACAATGACTCATTCCTGCAAAGATTGTTAACTGCAGGGTATAGCTTGTCTCCCAAAACATAACTTCAGCAGTAAAAGTTTAATATGACATGTATTGCTTGGTTGGTGATTGCTAGTCATGCCTCTCAGCTCTAGTCTCATAAAGGGAAGAATCTCTCTTCTGAGGCTTTCCCGTCACAATCAACAGTCTAGACCACCTATCAAGAAGCCCCAAGAAAGACACAACTTTCATTTCTTGTTTTGAGAGAATGAAACCATTCCTAAAAACTATCTGTGTACAGGAAATATCTGATGAGACTCCTGCATTTGTTCCTTGTCATAGGCTGAATTGTGTCCCCCAGCACCCCCACCCTACATTCACATGTTGAAGTCCTAACCCCTAACACCTCAAAATGTGGCTATTTTTGGAGAGGCTCTATTTAGGGCCTTTAAATAGGTAATTAATGTAAAGTGAAGTCATATGGGTAGACTCTAATCTAATGTGACTGGTGTCCTTCTAAAACGAGGCGACTAGGACACAGACAGGCACAGAACATTTGAATGTGAAGAAAATGTGAACATGAAGAGCCAGATACAAGGAGAGAGGCCTCAAAAGAAACCAACGCTGCCAACACCTCGATAGCAGACTTCTAACTTCTAACTTCCAGAAAATAAATCTCTATTGTTTAACCACCCAGTTAATGGTACTTTTTAATGGCAGCCTGAGCAACTAATACAGTCACCGAGGACAACCTGAAATGGTACTGTAGATCATTTTGTTAACACGAATTACCACCAGGATTGTCTCCTTTGGTTTCTAACAGTGCACATGTCTCTAACAATTTGCCCTCTACCCTCTTTCCTTGTCATTTCAGAGTCTTTTTCCCCTTTTATCCATTTATCAGAGAGAGAAAATAAAAAGGATATGAATGCAAGATGGTCTGAGATGATGGGGGGGGGTCGTCTGTCCTGTTTTTTCTAATTCTAAGATAAGGCAGACATCCTTATTCTGCTAAGCGAACGCATCACTTACAGTCACTCAGAGTGTGAAACATGAGTGTGAGTTTAGAAGAGGCACAGGATTTTACCAATAAGGAGTCCTATGGTCTGAGTCTCTTGGGACTCGGCAATAAGCTGCTTATCAACGCATCTCTCCGAGTGTTCAGCTGTTGCTATGGCAGATCCCACAGTGGTGCCCTTGCTGTCTGTTTCAACAGGGAGCATGCTCAGTGTGGCTGGGCAGGGGGTGGCGGGGGAGCAGGGGCAGGCACTTGTCTCCATGGTAAAAGAATCAGTATAATGGAATTGGGAGACTGATTCCAGGTGGCTTCTTGTGGGAGAGACATCCAACCATCATTCTTCAGAATGCCTCCCAGTTCTACTGAAATCTACCCCAGTGTAGGTTGACCTCTATTGGGGAAGATGCCAAAATGTCCGAGTGACAGAGGTAAGGGCATGGAATTAGGTATTTCATTTACAAAGATCCTGGTTAAAGCAAATTTTGTCTCCACTAGTTTATGTGGTTCTTTTGCTAACATTATCCCAAAATCTCAGCTCCTCCATCTCACAGTGTGTGTGTGTGTGTGTGTGTGTGTGCGCCCGTGCACAGGCTTCAGGGAGTCTCTGCGTAGTGTGTCAACATGTCGGTATCTTTTTATATATATGTTAATGTGCTCCTATGTGTATGAGTGTGAGTCTGCATGTGGGTTGTCTACATATGTGTCTGCACATGAGTATGAGTGTCTATTGATGTGTGTGGTAGAGTGTAACCACGTGTGTGTATGTAGGTCATTGTGTCTATATTCTTATTGGTGTATAACTTTGTGTGTGTGTGTGTGTGTGTGTGTGTGTGTGTGCACGCACGCGCGCGCAGAGGCTCTGTCTGTAAGAAGACGACATGCTCCCAGGGCCTACCCAGGCCCAGTGTAGACCATCTGGGGCTGAAGGTGAGGTTCCGGAACATCAATCATGGCAGCAGAAAGCCTTAAGTCTCCCAAGAACCTACAGATGTTTCGGGAGAATCTGGAGCCCAGTGTCTGGCTCACTCCACCTGTCCTTGGCCTTTTGGGCCTTTCCCTCCTGGCCCCCGCGCA